AACCAGTCCTGGTGTGCAGACCAGGCACCGCTCTGTGGCAGTGTTGGGGAACTACACTTTCACCAATAGCTTCCAAAACAACCAATCTCAACTGCTGTTGAGTAGACTTTGACTTATAGCAACTCCTCCTTGGTTTTCTGAGGAGGTATCTCTTCAGATGTAGATTGCCCAACCTGCCTTCTGAGGAGTGGCTGGTGGGCTTGAACCGCCAGACTTCTGGTTAGTAGTCAAACACCTTAGGCACTGTACCACCAGAGTTCCCACCAATAACTTAGCGTAGGAGAAAGTAGGTTGTGAATGAAGAAATTGCGTCAGCTCTGCATCCCTCCCCTGTTTGGTTCTTTTGTTCCTTAAGACACCTTCTTTGGGAAGATTCTGACCTGGCAGCCCTCTTAGGTGGCCAGCTACAACACCTATTTTACAATCTAATAACATGTAATCAACAACAATATTCCTGTTATTGCAGCATAATGCTCTGGAGTTGCTAGGGCTTTTGACAGCTTTATTCATGTCAAGTTTTATCAGGGGAAATACATGTTCCAGTCTGAATGGGAGCTTCCCCAATCTTAAATTTGTCCTACCACGCCTAACGTCTTTAAAAAGACTGAAGCCCATTTGCCCTTCTTGGAGGACATCCTGCCCTTTGAAAGGGGATGCTCCTTTCGTTCCGGCTAGGATCCTTGTCTGTGTGTCTTGTCACATGATAGCAGGAAAACATTCTCCTTTCTCCAACTCCCCTTTCCCCCATTTCCCACTTCAGTGTGTTTTTCTGAACTGTGTAGTCTATCTCTGTGGTAGTTAAGGTTGTTGTGAACTTAGCTGGACCTGGTTGAGTGAGTGACTCGGCAGCTGGTGGTAGTTATTCCCCATGATGAGACTGGCAGTCAATTCCATGGTGAGATCTACCACAAGCAGCTGAGGAGCTGCTTTAGGAATGAAGGTTCCCAAGTATAAGAAGCAGCTTTGGAATGGTCTCCATGTTATGGCCTGCTTGGACCCTGCATGCAGCCATGTCATTGTTTAGCAGCCTGCCATGCTCTGCAGACCTCGGAACTTTCAGTGGATTTGAATTAGTGGCCTGCTGTGTGGTTTGGAAACATCGGAACTGTGCCTTTTTACTTGTCAACCTTGGGTTTGTCAGCCTCAGCAGCCAGCAGCTGAGTGAAGAAAAGCCTCCGGCTCCAGTTGGCCAGGAGCAGGAGGCAGAGCTGACGCCTGAGGTTAAGGGGCTGTCACCCAGTCCCTGGAGCCTGGCACTTCAAACTCGGACTTAAAGCTTCTGAACTGTAAGAGAATAAACTCCTGTTTGTTCAAGCGTCCCATTTGTGGTACATTCCTGTCAGAGCGGCACTAGTAACCAAAACACCCTCCTTCCCTGCCTTCTCCTGAACCTCTCTACTATCTAGTACAATGCAATACTGTGCATGTTCTTTTTCTTTTTCCTTGCTTTCTGCTACAGAATATCCTTTCTGGGCTGAGGTTGGTCATTTTTTCAGCTTCAGGAGAGAGACTGTTTTCTTTTCTGGCAAATTGCTGGGGCTCTGTGTTTATAAGTGAAGGTACACATAGTTCTTCTGCATGACTGCAGTGTTAACACCTTATATTTACAGCCTTCGGAATAATCATGGTATTGGCACCCCATGCTTTTTATGTTCTTTGGTTGGTCTACATTAAACCCCCCACCCTCACCCTCTGCCACCTCCCTCCACTGTAGCATAGTTACTGAGTGCTGTGTAAAAGGCAGCGAACTGTGAGGGTAGGGACCTCGTAGGACATAGTAGGTACTTCATTAATGTTGAACAAAGGAACAAAACTAAGCAAGGGCAATTGGCTGGGGGTTTCACGTAGTGGGAAATAAGACGTTGACACAGATCTAACTGGAGGGCTTTGAATACAGGGCAAAGAAACTAATGAATCCTGTACGCAACAGGGAGCCATTTTATTTTACTTTTTCTCTATAGAGATACAGTTCATACACATAGAAAAAGGTGCACAAATTTTAAATTACAGCTTAATGAATTTTTACATTTGTATATATCCACGTAATTACTGCTCAGATCCAGAAAACATTTCCAGAGTCCCATATGGGGAGCTACTTCTTTTGATATGCAACCTTTTAGATAACCAGGTCCCAGAAGGTAATAGGTTTGCCTAAAGTCACATGGTTGGTCTGTGGTAACTAGGACTGGAATTACTACAGCTGTTCCCAGGAAAAGGAAGCCTTTCTACTTGAACAAAAACACTAGTTCAGACTAACTGCATCACAAAATAATTACAGTTGTTAATGATTACCGTTCATTAATCATCAGCATGCCTTAATATTTTATATGCATTACGTCATTTTATCTGCTCATTTTCCTTCCCCCTATTTTACAGATGCTGAAGGTTAGTGAGGTAATTTGCCTCAGGCTCCACAGCTAGAAAGTTGGTAGAGTTAGACTCAAACCCAGTACTATCTGTTACCAGAGACTAATAGCTATTGGTGATCTGCTGCCTTAAATATCTGATACTCAAGTTTAAGTAACAAAAAATGCTGTGCCTTTGTGGTGGGAGATGAGTAGGAGTTCTGGTAGCATAGTGCCTAAGGCACTTGACTGCCAACCAGAAGGCTGGAGGTTCAAACCCACCAGCCACTCCTCGGAAGGAAGGTTGGGCAATCCTACTTCCGTAGTGATACTGCCTCGGAAACCCAAGGAGGGGTCGCTATGAGTTGGGGCCGACTCGATGGCAAATAACAACAACAACAACAACAACAGCAACACAGAGAATACTCTTTTTAGGCATATTCTGGCCTGTGGCTTATTGCAACCATGAGAGGGAAAGAGATTTCTGATTCAATGACAGGCCGTAAACTGATGGTTTGTTTGGATGAATCTTTATGAGGGATGAAGGTGATTTCAGTGATGATAGCTCTTTAGAATCTACACATGGCAAGAAGAGGATGGACTCTGCAAATTATGAAAACAGGGTGCAGAGAAGATAAAATGTGAACCTAAGTTTTCAGAAACTTAGTCTAAAAATAAGTAAAATAAATGCATACCATAGAGCAGAGTGACAGAATTCTTAGTAACATTAAGGTTGTGTTTCAAGAGCTAAGGCATCCAAAGAAAATAATGAAACTTCCACAACCACTAAAAGGAAAAACAACTTATTTTAATGGGCCTCATGGTGTTGAAACAACAATTTTCTACGTGTGTTAAACATCCTGGTTGGCTCTTACAAAGCAAAATACTCTTATTAAAAGAATTCTAACTATTACGCATGAAGTGGACACTTCTAAGATTACATTCAGTATTTGTACATTCATTAAGTTTTTAAGCAGAGGGGGAGGGACAGTTCAGCACATAAACTGGAAGTACTCAAGGAAACCGAGATAATACAAGATAACAGTCTGGTAAGAGGGATCAGATTGCTGTGGGGCAGCATGTTTCAGGAAACTAATGTTAAAAAAAGAAAAAGTATTACAAACAGGCTTGCTTGGTGAAAGCCCTTTTAAGTTGTTTATAGTACTGAGTACAAGGAATATTGTTGCCAGTGTATTTAACTTTTAAAGATGTATGGGTGCCAAAAATAAGTTCAGGATTGTTTTGATACCCCTTTATTTTTAAATTGGGCGGGGGGAGGGGGAATGGGAGAGATGAATGAATTTCTATTTAAAGTTGCCCCTGTTGGTAAATATTTCATATTTTGTTTAATAAACCCTGTATTTAAGTGAAAACACCAAAAAGGAAATAGGGCTATGGATACTGAATTCTGTGATAAAAATTAATCCTAAAATATAAATACATTGTAGACCTGTCCTTTAAAAAAAGAAAAGAAAGTTTATATGTAAAACAGTGGTGGCAGGCAGACAGATCAGTATACACAGTCCTATCCGCACCCCCAGTGCCAGTGGTTTCCTTACTGTCCTGTTGAGAGTGCCTGCTTCTGAGTAGCTTTCTGGTGTTGGCATAGGTCACCATGCTGGCATTTGTCACTTGAGGATGCTGTTGCCCTAGAGCCAGCAGGTCCAGCTGCCAGGAGCCCTTGCCTGAAGAATGGCTGAACACCCTCGGCACCGCTTCCCAGTATTAAGCTGTCTTCTTCCAAGTCATTCCCTCAGATTTTGTAATGAGCCAGAGGGACATGGGCTTTGAGGAAGTTAGTTGAGAGGAGAAAGGAGGAGATGCTCAGAACAGAAGAAGGATGTTGTCAGTGCCCTAGTTAGTGCTGTCTTGGAAAAAGAGGAAAAACAGGCTCTTGAAGATTCTTCTTGTTCTATTTTTTAAAACTTTTTTTTTTAATTGTGAAATATAATACACAAATAAATGCATTCCCTAAGGCTTTTCCCTTTTTACTCTGATACCTTAACTCCCCTATCTTATGGAAGATAACAGTGGGAGGCCTTGATACAGGAGGAAAAGAGAAGTAGAATTTAAGATAAAAAATAACAAAAATGTGAGTGAAAGAATAAGTTTGAGATGTCTGCAAATGAAAAATATTCTGAAGTAATATTTCTTTATTGTAAGGAATAAAATATAAAAGGGAGTGAGACAAAACTCCTCAAGGTGTGAGAAAAGAGAGGAGAAAAGAAAGGGGGGGGCATACATAGAATCTTCCAGGCCTCTTTTTTTGTTGTCTCTGTTAGGTTCACTATTGTTGTTAGGCATGGTACTTATCACTTGGTTGCAGATTCAAATACATCTGAATTATCGCAGTATGGTTTTCTAAAATTTGAGATCTAGATTCTTAGGCACAAATAAGTTTATATATATATGGCAGTTAATTATTTGCAATATTCTTGCATATTTCACATGAAAATGGATTTAATACCCTATCTCCACTTGGAAGGCTCTGAAGCAATTTCATTTAGTAGGGAATTGACATAGGAGGTTAAACTCTACTATAAGGAAAATATCTTAATTAATTCTTGGATAAGTAAAATTTGATAAAGAAAATTGCCTTCGTATATGGATGGGTACATACATGCAAATTTTAAAATAAAGTAATTTTTCTTACAGTCCTATTTTGTAACGGATTATGATCCAACCATTGAAGATTCCTATACAAAGCAGTGTGTGATAGATGACAGAGCGGCCCGGCTGGATAGTAAGTAATCTTCCTGTATTTAAAAGTTTGCACATCATGTTTTTAAAAGTGAATGACATTTGCTAAGTTAAATAATGTAATTGAAATATTAGATGATCTTAAATATTAGCCCATATCTATCATTAGTTTTGATTGATGAAGCTACATATTGGGAAATAAGACTTAAATATTTGATAAATGAAAGTAAAACAGTACTTGGATAGATCTTGTGTTCTGGCAAAACTAGTCTTGTCTTTGTAATTTGTTGAAGTTCTATTTATTAGGACATTTGGGAATAAAATACCCCAGGTCTGAACTTCTCCTGCCCTTTGGTGAAGGCTAAAATGAGTGAAGTGAATATAGAAATGGTTCCATATTTGTTAACTTGTTTAGAATTTATAATACAGAGACTTTAGCAAATAGTGTTTTGTGACTAGTTAGACATCCTGCTTGCCCCCAGAGTAAGACATAACTCTTCAACTTTTGTGCTTCTTGTTTATTCACAGAGATTAAGAAGAACATTAGCATGTGTACTTAAATATGATATTGGGGGGTAGAACCAAACTTTCTCAGATTTACACGTCTTTTTTTGAATTATTCTTTTTCAATGAGAGGAGAAAACACTGAAGTGCCTTCAGAGGTTCATCTGACTTCATCTGCTTAGATGGGTTTGATATTTTTAACCATGTAATTGGTATGCTAATACATTCTAACTACTAAATCAACCTGCTCTGAAACTGCCTGCTATTAGAATGTATTTGTCTTTAGTACTGAGTATAGAGTATTAAGAGGAGAAAGCTTTTTATGTTATATTAAGTGTGATGCTCATCGGAGGACCCACATTAATTGGGCCTTCCGTTGCTGGGGAAGTCAGATATAAAATGAAATCCAAACACAGTTACATTTGTTTTCTTTTTCTTTAGTTCTAGATACAGCAGGACAAGAAGAGTTTGGGGCTATGAGAGAACAGTACATGAGAACTGGCGAGGGTTTCCTATTGGTCTTTTCAGTCACAGATAGAGGCAGGTTTGTACCAATATTAAAATATAAACCCTCTGTTCATGTTTGGATTACTACTTTATTGAATTTGGACTTATTTTTATACAAAAAGGAAAAGCAATAAAGCACTAAACGGGCGTGAGACTTGGCTGAAATCTGATACCTTGATCAATTTTTTTTTTTTAGTTTTGAAGAAATCTATAAGTTTCAAAGACAGATTCTCAGAGTAAAAGATCGTGATGAGTTTCCAATGATTTTAATTGGTAATAAAGCAGACCTGGATCATCAAAGACAGGTGAGAAGGAACTTAGCTTCTGGGAAATCAGTTGTTTATGATTATGTGAATGAACTGCTGTATTCAGTGAAACAATTGAAAGTGCCATTGATCAAAAACACTGTGCTGTAAGCTTAATTACCTTCATTTAGAGAAAGACTTTGATTTAAATGATATTATTTGGATTTTTCCCAAGTCTTATCAGTGACTGAATTTTCTTTTAATTCTCTTGACTATCTCTAATGCACTAACTTGCAAGAGAAGAGTATCTTTAGTTGCAGGCTAATTTATTTTCACTTGTTTTTTCACCCACTCATTTTAAATTTATCATTTGTATTTTGGCATATATTATACACGGTTAACCTTTTTTGGGGAAGGAGTTCCTTGGAAGAAAGGTCAGGTTACCCACTTCTGAAAACTGGCCATTGAAAAACCCTATGTGTGAAGCACAGTTCTGCTCGATACACGTGAGGTCACCATGAGTTGAAATTGACTCGGAAGCATCTGTTTTTCTTTTTTTCCTTTCTTTTTTAGCTTAAGACAAAATATTTCTTGGTAGAGTTTAGGCCTACCAAATCAGACTATCCAGGAGATAAGTATTAAGTATATTTAGTATTTAAGTATCTTTATAAAATTCTCTGCATTGGGAACCTGTATTTTATTGATTTCTGGCTTTACAATGCCATGGCTTTGTTTCATATGGTGTTCTTTTTGCTTATTTTTGTTTGTTTTGGTTGTAGTAATGCTGTATCTACTTGTTAAAGTCTTGCTACATCAGAGAGCTCAAGCTACTTAATATGTAGTTAGAAGTTTCTTGAACAGAAATGTGTGCACCAACTTTGCTGACTTTGATTCCTGGAAGACACTGATATGAAACCATATTTTAAAAATAAATAAATGAAGCATATAAATGACCTTACCAGTGGTATTGTTTTAGTGTTAACAGTTACTTGCCTTTTTGCTCTAGCTGAATTACATTGTGCACGAAGGGTAAAATAAGGTCCCTTTTTGAGGAGTAATAGAGCAAAAGACAAATACAAAGTTCTTAAGGACATGTATTTTCCCTCCAGATCAAATATATATTAATCAAGTAGGTAATTTATTGATCAACTTGTTTCAGTATTTATTTTTCTCCCTACATCATCTTTCCCTTTACTTCAAGATATGTTTATGTGATTGGTCATATGCCATTTGCTTAGCGTGTTAATTTAGGTAACTGCTGTGCACTCTTCTAGGCTGTGGATGTACAAAGACTGATAGCCTTACTCTCCCTAGCCTCAAATGACTTATTGTAATAGTGGAGAAAGAAAAAATAAAATCACAAATTGTCCTGTAGAAAATGAAGAATTTTGTAGATGGTAGCCACATAATGTGATGGGAGTTCCAGAACACCATGAGAACTGTAAGAAGTTTCTGATTACTTGAGTATTGAAGGATTAATCAGAATTAGTTGGATGAAACAAATTAAGAGTATAAGGTTGGGCTAGAAGGGATGATGTTCCAGGAAGATGGACTAGAATTTGTAATAGCATGGCAATATTTTCATAGGAAAACATTTCTTTCGTCAAATTTTCTTAAATTAGAAACTGTTCTTTCTATAATTGGTGACTCTGCCACTTTCTTTTGGCTTCCTTGCTTATTGTTAATTGCTTGCTTGATCTGGTTGGTTTATATTTCAAATCCATGGATCTTATGATACATACGTTATTTTGAAGAGAGGCGGGGTAAATTAAAAACTGCAAAACTTGAATATACTAATACTATGTAGAATCTGTCTGGCACTCTTTTGGGATTTAATAAGGCATGAACTATTATAAAGTAATGGTTAAATGTATGTACATTAATGTGATAACCTAATGGCTGATGTGTGGGAATGGAGTATTAAATTTAATTTGAGGAACAAACAACCTGAAAGGATCAGAGAGAACAAGACCTGCAACTCAAATAGGGCCAAGAATAATTACTCTTTCAGTCAGCCAGAGTAGAAAATCTCATAGTTCTTAAAATACTGGATAGGCTTTTCTTTCAGTAGTGGGGCAAAAAGGAGCTGTGGTCTCCTGCATCTGTAAAGATTTATAGCCTTGCAAACCCTATAGGGCAGCCCTGCTTTGTTCTATAGGGTCACCATGATTTGGAATTGACTCACCAGCAGTGGGTTTGTTTTGGGGTTTAATGGGGCAAAATTAGCCCCAGAATAAATGTGAATAAAATCAAAAGCATCACTGGAAAGGACCAACCTGTTTACAAATAACAGCATCCCAGGAGAAAGTTCACTAATATGTACAGGAATACAAAATACTCAGCATCCAATAGGTAAAAACCCAGCACCCAAGTGTCCACTCAAAAATTATCAGACATGACATACAAAGAAGCAGGGAAATATGATCCATGACAAAGAAGGAAAAAACAAACAAACAATAGAAACAGGCCCAGAAATGATACAGATGGTAGAATTAATGGACCAAGACATTTTAAAACAGTTATAACTATGTTCTGTATGTTCAGAAAGCTAGAAAAAGCCTGGATATGTTCAGTAGGGCCATGGAAGATATAAAAGGATCCAAATTAAACTTGCAGAAATTAAAACTGTGATGCCTGAGATGAAAAATATGCTGGTTAAGATTAACAGCAGAAGAAATGACTGAAAAATCTCCAAATATTATAAAAACTATCAATGCCCATACTCAAGAAACTCAATAAGCCCAAAGCACAAGAAATATGAAGAAAAATATAACAAGGCACAGCATAATGAAATTGTTTAGAACAGTTGATAAAGAGAAAACCTGAAAAATAGAGGAGAAAAACATTACATACAGAGGGACAAAGTCAAGGTGATAGGAGATTCCAGGTGCAAATAAGGTAAGCCAACAGACAGTGGAACAACTGTGCACCTAAAATTCAATACCCACCAACAATTTGTTCCAAAAAGGAAGGTGAGATGAAGCCTTTTCCACACACACACAACGTGAGGAGTAGATGGAGCAAATCAAATTGTTTGATACTGTACTTCAAACACGGCTCTTGTGGAATTTCAGGTGACACAGGAGGAAGGACAGCAGTTAGCGCGGCAGCTTAAAGTAACCTACATGGAGGCTTCTGCAAAGGTTAGGATGAACGTAGATCAGGCTTTCCACGAACTCGTCCGGGTTATAAGGTAAGCAAAACACATCCTAGAAGTTGTTTCAGCTCATTGTATTTGAACAGGTAATCAAACTGCTTTTTAAAACCATTAACTAACAACAACAAAAATTAAAATATTTTTAGTAAGAAAAAGGAAACTATGGGATTCTGTTCCAGGGGTTCATATAAATGGTATATTTAAAGTTTTCATTGTGTGGATACTGTATTCTAGACACTTTCTATATATAAAATCCTATTTTAAACTATATTGGACTAGAAGGTAAATACAGAGATTTTTGAAAAGGAATAATGAAGCGTCCAAAGGTGGCGCTGGTTGGATGATAGTGGTGGTAACAGCTAACCTTTGAGTGGTGGTAATCTCTGCAAATACTGTTGAAGTGCTTTACCTGCATTTTAGCGTCACCACAACTAAGTAAGCTAAATGCTGTTTTTTTAAATCTCTACTTCTGGGTTAATAAACTGAACAACAGTGAGGGTAAACGACTTGTTTAAGGTGTTGTTGTGTTGTTGTTATGTGCCGTTGAGTCGGATGCAACTCATAGCAACCCCTCCTTGGGTTTCCAAGGCAGTATCACTCTGGAAGTAGATTGCCCCATCTTCCTTCCGAGGAGTGGCTGGTGGGTTTGAACCACTGCAGTCAGGTGCCTTTAGGCACTACGCTACCAGAGCTCCTTGTTTAAGGTGTAGACATATTAAATAGCAGAACTGGGACTGGAATTGCAATCTCTGAATCTCAAGCCAGTGCCCTTAGCCTTGCTTCTTACCCAGCTCCTCCTCTTAGGGTAAGAGGCAGTAGGGATTGAACAGGCCCACAGGAAGTGAAGTACAATCTCCCAGACTACAAAAAATGCTCTGTTAGATGGCCTAGGAAATGCCAGTGGTTCAGAAAGCACTAATGGGCTCCAGGAAGCTTGAGGTGATGGATGAGGCCTTCTGGGGTTATTATAAAAATGTTTGTATGTGAGAAAGATTAACTTGCTTTAGTAGGTAGATTTGGCTTGATTATTTTGAATCGTGGTGGCCTGATTCCTACTCAGCTCTCTAGACCTACTGGATATCTCTCAGCTTGCTAGATAGTTTGATAGACTTATGAGAGTAGAGTCCTTATTATGAATTTAAAGTGAAATAACACCTAAATTGTAGCATCTTGGACATTTTAGTCCCTTGCTAGGGTATTCTTTTTGTGGAGAAAAAACCCAGGATTTTTGTGTTTGTTAAAAAACCCCAGTCCTGTTTTAGTGTTAAACAATTGATGAACCAGTGCTTACTTAAAATAATTCTCTCTGCCTTTTTCAAATATTTTGTCATTGGTTTTGATCTTCAGCATCTATGCATGTCCTCCATCAATCAGGAGTGAGGAAGGGGTGTAGAGAAGGCTTGTTTTGCTAAGCACTCTGCTGGCGTAGTGCCTAAGGCATTTCAAATTGACCAGCTACTCCTTAGAAGGAAGGTTGGGCAATCAACTTCCATAGAGATACTGCCTCGGAAACCCAAGGAGAGGTCGCTATGAGTAGGATCCGACTCCATGGCAGTGAGTGAGTGATTAGGGATTTAAATATAACAAGATCTTTAATCCTCATAGCAATTGTGAAAGGTAGGTTTTTATTATTCCTTTCTAAAACCTGAGGCTCAGAGATGTAAACGATCTTCTTTAATACTGACGTAGGGCTACTAAGTGGCAGAATAGCGATCAGAGTGGCATATCTAGTAAGGATAGTTTTCTACTGTACGCCAATGATGGATGTTTATTCTTAAGTACACCTTATTGTTGCTGTCAAGTCAATTCTGATTCGTGGCAACACCATGTCTGCAGATAGAACAGCTCCATACTGTTTCCAAGGCTGTGACATCTCAGAAGATCACCAGGCCTGCCCTTTGAGGTACCTCTGGGTAGGTTTGAACTACCAACCTTTCGTTTACTAGTCAAGCACTTAACTGCTTGTGCCAGCAGGGACTCCAGGTATACCTTAGAGTCACAGAGTTTTATATTGGGACAGGAAATTAGCAGTTAACTGAGTTCAGCATCTCATCCATTTCAGGACTCTCTCTTCCTGTTAAAGCAACTCGGACAGCTCTGCTTATGTTGGTATTGAAGCTTTGTTGTTGTTGTTTGGCAAAGATTTGTTTTGATTCCCTAGTTGAACTGTAACATTGAAAAGCATATGCACTTACACTAGACTTGTCCAAGAATAACCTGCATTTGTAACTATACATTGCCAAGAAGGCAATTATATTTAGATTGTTCTCTCTTACAGGAAATTTCAAGAGCAGGAATGTCCTCCTTCTCCAGAACCAACACGGAAAGAAAAAGACAAGAAAGGCTGCCATTGTGTCATTTTCTAAGAATCCCATGAATTTTAGCTACCAACTGCCAGGAAAAGCCCTCATCTTCTTCTCTCCTTACAGTTTACATTATGTTGGTACCTTTCTAGCCTTAGACAAGCAAGTCGTACAGATGTTAGCCTTAGACCAAGAAAACCTGGCTAATCCTTTCCAAGAAGCTAATAGCATGGTCATTTCAAGACAAGATGAAAAGAAACACTAAGGCTGCTTTTAAGATGATCTGATTTCTTTAAAATACATATCTATATACACAGACACATTCTTTTTTTAAGGGCTTACATTTTAATCAGGATGAATCAGTTTTGGAACCTAAGCTGTTTGCCAAGCTGAAGTCATAGATTGTGAAATAATTTTTAACTTCTGGAATCTTATTGCTTACTGTTACTCTAAATAGACACATAGGGAATTTTTTTTAAATGTGAATTTTTTGCCCACCTTAAAAGTTTTTGATGTCAACTTTAACCTTAAAACACTGAATTAACTCTACAAAAGTGAGACATCTCAGATCTTACTGATGCTACAGCTTTTGTTTTCCAGTGGCCAAAATCCACAATGCCTATTGTATTTATGGATTAGAAACTGCTCATAAAGCCTTTATATTACTCTTATTCTTGAAGATGATGATATTCTATGTGGCCAAATACCTGGGCTCATTCTGGACTTAGGCATTTTCTTATTCTCGTTTTTTAATTTAGCTCTTTTCACGGCCATGTTGAGGGTGAAAATGAATAATTTCTGTCTGTCTTCCTTTAAGTATTTCTGGATAAGAGATTCAAAATAACTAAAACTGTTTTTCGTTTGATGTAATATAAAATATGGAATTGATCTTTCCAGGGTCAGAGATGATTAATGTTTTTGCTATATACTTTTATACATTATTTTCTTATCAAACTAGTTAACAAGTATTTTTATATGTTTGTAAGCAAATATGCTTTCTCAGCATACCTTGTGTATATGTAAAGATAAGTATTTAATTCTCACTGTTCACTTTTAACTGACAGAAAAAAATGTGGAAGCTACAGAAACTGTGGTAGAACTTTACTTGCTGTTCTGGTCCTGGTTGTACCCACCTTTGGCCAGTCTCATACCTACTCAAGAAACCTTCCCAATAGAGTACAACTTTCAGGATGAGAATCTGAAATCACTTTAAGTATCCCTTACTAGATAGTGACTGTTATATCAAGTATTAAATATAAAACTTTTAATTGTCAATTAGTATAACTGTGGATGGCTTCTGATTTTGTTTTTGATTCTGTGGATTGTGTTTAAACAATTCAAAAAGTATGTTTCCTGATTTTGAGATACTAAGTGGTATTGCACAGTTGTCACTTTATTGAATGTGTACAACAGTCCCATGAGGTTTATAAAGCGTACCCTTGTATAGCTTCAGGTGCTAGAATTAAAATTGATCTGTTATCACAAGATATGATGCTTGTATACTCATTTTGTTATTTTGGTGGTTTGTTAAAGGAATGAGTGTTGGAGGAAATTTATTTTAGCAGCTGTGTTTTTTTTCCCAAAAAATGGTTTGAATCTAAAACTCAGAATAATTCATTTATCAGGTGAAATGATTTGGTGTTCTTGGTGAAGTCTTGAATGTTTTCGGAAGTCAGTGTTAAACTTTTTCTATAAACTGCTCCTGAGAGAACACCAGCTGAAGAGAAGAGGATAAACACATACCCACACACCCTCTGCAGATGAAACTGTAAACTAGATAAACAAAGCACACAGTAAATTTATTTCAAGATTAATAGAAAGAATGTAAATTTTATATTACATGTCATAATCTAATTGCTTTAATATAGAATTATCTTTCCTTTAAAGTCTTCTGGTAAAGTTATTCACTTAAACCGTGACCTTTGATCCCTTCACACTGTAACATATTTTTGGTAGTACTTTCAGTTGGAAAAGCACAGGCTTAAGTTTTTTTTTATCACTTTGTCTTCTAGCTCACAAACCTTTTCTTCTGCAGTTATGTAATTTGCTGTTAATTTCATCCAGTGAATTTTCCATCTTAGACATTATATTTTCCTTTTCTCAAGGTGTCTTATTTATCTTTTATATTCTAATTTTCTATTCACTATGTTCATGTTTTCCTCTAAGCCAACCCTTCTCAACTGTTTTTTCAGAGACTAGAAGGGAGGGGTCGCTATGAGTCAGGGCCAACTCGACGGCAAATAATAACAACAACAACAACAACAGAGCCCTCATGCCTTAAGATACCTATTGGAATGAGTTGATTTCTTTCCTCTGTATCTAGAATGGTAGTAGCTATGTACTGTCCTTGGGAGAAATGATAAAATAGTGTCTTAAATAATTTTCCATAGGGCTTAATTCTCAATCTTGGTTGAGAAAGGCTGGCTGAATATTTGAACATGATTATAATAACTGGTTGTAACATTTTTTTGTCATCTCTATTTCTGAATCTATTTCTATTGACTGATTTTTCTCTAGTTATGAGTCACATTTTCCTGCTTTTTCACATGTTGTTGTTGTTATATGCCATCGAGTCGGCCCCAACTCATAGCGACCCCTCCTTGGGTTTCCGAGGCAGTATCACTACGGAAGTAGATTGCCCCATCTTCCTTCCGAGGAGTGGCTGGTGAGTTTGAACCGCCAGCCTTCTGGTTAGCAGTCAAGTGCCTTACACTATGCTACCAGAGCTCCCGCTTTTTCACATATCTAGTAAGTTTTGATTGCGTGCTGGACATTGTCTGTTTTACGTTGGATGGCTGGATTATGTTGTTTTCTGCTAAGGAGTGTTAGGCTTTGTTCAGTAGCCTGTTGATTGACTTGTGGTTCAGTTTGATCCTTTCGAAGCTTGTTCCCAGTAGCCTTTTTCCTGGGAGAGTATAGCTCCGCTACTGAAATGTGGCTCTTTTTACATCTGTACTGAATTCTTTAAATGATTAGTCTGGATTCTGCACTTTGGCTAGTGGAAACTGAAACAATTCCCAGCCCCATGTGAGCCCTGGGGGAGCCATTCAACTCAAGTTCTAAGGTATTGTTTGCCCAGCCTCTTGGAGTTTCACCTTATACATGCGCATCTTAATATTCAACAGAGGTTCATTGATCGTATGCATATTTTAGGAGCTCTGGTGGCATAGTGCCTAAGGCATTTGACTGCTAACCAGAAGGCTGGTGGTTCAAACCCACCAGCCACTCCTTGGAAGGAAGATTGGACAATCTACTTCCATAGCTTTTTTTCTGGTAGCTCCCTCCTCTTCAGAACTTTGTTCTGTAACTTCTAGCTACCTCAGACTCTCGGTGTGATAGCCATTGTCTGTCTGCTCAACTCATGGAAACGTTTGTGCCCTGCTCAGGATCCCAGCCCCTCTTCTTCTTCAATCTGGAATTACCTCCAGGCAGAAAACCAGGGCCTTCCCTTACTTGTTTCTCTTCCATCAGGAATTGTAGTCCTGTGCTGTTTGGTGTACCATATCTGACAAAAAAAAAAAAAAAATTGTTTCATGTATTTAATCCAGTTTTCTATATGTCTAAGGTAGGAGGGTAAATTTGATTCTTGTTACTCTATCAAGGTTGGAAGCAGACATCTCTCCCATATTATATATCTATCATATAATCAGAGGTATGTTATAGGTTCTTAATCTCTTTTTTGAAATATTTGCTCACAAATGATAACCAGTCCCACAGCATGAATAGTCCTAGTCTATGTGCCCATTACTTACCTATAGCAGAGGTTGGCAGTTTTTTCTGTGAAGGGCCAGATAGTAAATACTATCATGGGCTTTGTTGGCTACATGGTCTCTGCCCCAGCTGTTCAGCTCTGCCATTTTAGCACCAAGGCAGCCATAAATAATATATAAATGAATGATTATAACTGTGTTTTAATAAAACTTTTATTTAGACACTAAAATTTCAGTTTTATATGATTTTTATGTGTCCACGAGGTATTTATTACTATTCTTTGGATTTTTTTTTTTTTTCCCAGCCATTTAAAGATGTTAAAAAAGAAAGTTTTAGCTGGTGGGATGTACAAAAACAGCACTGCTCTACGGTATGTTTGGCATCTGAGGTTAACATGGTCAACTCTAGAATCTCCCGTGCCTCTTAATATAAGATATTCCTCCAAACGGGATTTCCCTGAATTGTCAGGAATTTCTGTCCTAAGAATTTTCTCTTTATATTGTCCATTTAGAGAATTTACAGTATTTCAAAGTTGGACATTATGCCCTTATTGGAATACATGCTACACTGATGGGTTTTTTTTTTTTTTTTTAAATTTGAGGCTACAGGCTTTTAAAATATAAATTGGTCCCTTTATTATTTGACTTTTAAATTTTAATGTAACAAGGTTGTTGTTCCTCTAACTTTTCATCACCAACTTGACTTGTTTTAATTTCATATTATTTCTGTTCTCATTCCTAAATAATTCCATTGAACAGATAATGGATAATTGGCAGGTGAGTAGAGGAGATAGATGATGACCACGTGGTCATTTTCAGACACTCTTAACACTTAAAAGCTTTTGGGGCCTTCATTTGCTAATGGGGCCCAGCACAAAATGAAAAGAAACAGCGGCAAGCATCCATTAATAATTAGAACATGGAATGTATGAAGTATGAATCTAGGAAAATTGGAAGTTATCATACTGAAAACCACTTAAAAATATTTAACCAGCTACTGCTTAAGAAGTTTAAAAATACTTTTGAGTTAATAAGGTATTTGAATTTGAAACAGTTGATTGAACATTAGTTTGTGTAAGGCCCTGTATCAGGTGTTTTGGGGAAATGGTGAGTGTGGACATTTTCCTTCCGCCAAGTTGCTCATTTTCTGGTGGAGAAGATTAAGGACAACGAAAACAGAAGCTGTAAGTGCTGTTAGGTCCAGCAGAGGGATGGTATGTATTCCTCCTGGAAAATCTGAAGGAAGGAGTATTTTAGCTGGAGCTTGAGGTTTTGTAATGGGAGGAGAGGGGAAAAGAGTGAGGTATTGGAAACACAGAGAGAATGCACAGGCAGAGGCACGGGTAGCAGAATGCAGGGTGTATTTATTCAGGGGTTGGAACCTTTGGTCTAAACCATTCTAAGTGCAGTGGGACAAAAATAATGATGCAAGTCCTTTGGGAGTGGCTAGTGGAGGGCTTTGAATAGGAGGGCCGGCCCTTCTGTCTGTGAAGGGAAACGGCTACGGGTCTGATCTGGTGGTAGGAAGAGGGGTGGGTAGAGCAGTGCAGAGGTTTGAGTCCAGTTGGTCAGGTGAGAGTTTATTTGAATCGTGGAATCTATCCTTTGTAAATCTACTTTACCACTTTTGTTCAAGCCCCTCTCACCTGACACGCAGATTCTGAGGGTGATCTCCGGAGTAGACTTTCTTTTTCCATTTTGCTCACATCAAGCCATGTTTTCCGTCGCATCCAGAGGTGTTTTGTTTTATGTTGGAGACTAAATGTTACATTACACTGCTACTAAAAATCTGTCTTAATACTTGGAGTTAATACCCAAATCCTCGGCCATGGCATACGAGGAAAGCTCCTTGCAGGATCTCTTGTTTTCCTACATCTCACTTAGATTCTAGCTGATCTACTTTCTTAGAACCTCTTGAACACACCACATATTTTCCAAGCCACTTACTTCATTCAAATATTCCAGTCAGCTATTTCATCCTTTGGGAGCTCTGGTAGTGTAGTGCCTAAGGCACTTGACTGCTAACCAGAAGGCTGGTGGTTCAAAACCACCAGTCACTCCTCGGAAGGAAGATGGGGCAATCTCCTTCCATAGTGATACTGCCTCAGAAACCCAAGGAGGGGTCACTATGAGTTGGGTCTGACTCGACGGCACATAACAACATTTCATCCTTTGGGTGCTTGCTTGAATGCTCCCTCCTTGGAGAGCCCTCTTCCACCTATTCTAATATCACACTGCCCTGTGTATATACTTTATGACACTTTCCTGTGATTATTTTGTTTCTCTTGTCTGGTCCCCACTTTAGCTTCATGAACTCAGTAAGGGCAGAACCATTTGTGTTGGGTTTAATGCTTTATTCATGTTGCTTGGCACGTAGATTATGCAGGGAACCATTTGATAAGTGGATGATTTCAGTGAAACAGGAAGCCGAAAGTGCTGTAATATTAGAGGGAAGGAGATTGAAGATTGAATGTATATCCAAGAGGTGTTTTGGGGACCACAAAGCATCAAGTCTGTGGGTGACCAGGAAGATGATGGTGCTGTGAGTTAATAGCACAGACAACTCTCTCATGATAGAAATGGATGGTGATTGTAGTAATTACATGCAAGGTTAGACCTGATGGTGTTTGGGAATGGGGATTGGAGCTGAAAAGAAGCTAGGGCTAAAAGTGCAGACTGGGAATTTATCTACTTTTTGAGCTAATGATTGAAGAAGTCAGAGCAGATAATATCTATTAGAAAGTGTGTTTGAGAGAAGGTCTAAGGGCAAAAGTTTG